CAAGTACGACTTTAGGACCTTAAGAGAGTCACATGTTTGGCCCACCTAACTGTTCAACTCGAGTTGATTCAGAGAATAAAGGCAGCTCAGTCCACCAATTCCACCCTAGTAGCCCTTAAGAAAGATGCAAAATAGGGAGTTAATTCAAAATTTTGAGTCTCTGCCGATGTGGTGCTTAGATTTCAGGACATGGTGTATGTTTCAGGTGACAGTGAGTTAAAAAGGGATATCATGACAGAGGCCCATATCTCAAAGTTTGTCATGCATCCCGAAAGACTAAGATGCATCAAATTATGCGACTCCAATTTTAGTAGAACGAGATGAAAAGAGATGTGGCCGATTTTGTTTCCAAGTGTTTGGTATGTCAGCAAGTCAAAGTAGAGCATCAATGCCTAGGCAGGCTACTTCAGTCATTATCAATTTCGGAGTGGAAGTGAGAACATATCACAATGAATTTCGTGACAGGATTGTCTAGGACATACTGGGGACATAATACAATTTAGATAATTATTGACTGACTCACCAAGTCTTCCCACTTCTTAACCATCAGGATGACCGACCCTCTGAACAAGCTAGCAAAAATATATATCTGGGAGATAGTCAGGTTACATGGAGTGCCAGTGACAGTAGTGTCTGATAGGGACCCCAGGTTCACTTTTCGATTCTGGTATAGTTTTTAACAAGTTATGGCAACAAAACTGTCCCTTAGTACTACATTCTACCCTCAGACCGATGGATAATAAGAAAGGACGATCTGCATACTGGAGGATATGCTTTAAGCTTGTGTTCTTGATTTCGGGGGCTATTGGGATGATCATTTACCCTTAATAAAGTTTGCCTACAATAACAGTTACCAAGAAAGTATTGGCATGGCTTCGTACGAGGTGTTGTATGGCCGTCCATGATGATTGCCGATATATTGGGAAGAAGTGGGTGATAGAAAATTATTCGGTCTAGATCTTGTAGATGAGACTGCAACCAAAATAGTTAAGATCATGAAGAACATTCAGACGGCTCAGAGCAGACACAAAAGTTATATGGATACTCGAATGAGAGATTTGAAATTTGAGAAAGATGATTGGGTGTTTCTTAAGGTTACTCATTTGAAAGAAATCAGTAGGTTTGACAATGGGAAAAAATTAAATCCCCAGTTTATTAGGTCATTCGAAATCTTAGACGAAATTGGCACCGTCACTTACAAACTGGCATTGCCTCCAGAACTATCAAGGTCCATAATGTGTTCTATGTGTCCATGCTACGCAGTACAACCGGGACCCCTTTCACATCCTGACCCACGAGCCCTTTTTGCTCAAGTAGGATCTGTCCTACGAGAAGATACCGGTGGGTATTGTGGACCGAAAGAATTAGAGTACTTCACAACTGGAAATTTTTTTTCGTTAAGGTCCTATGACAGAATCACACATAAGGAGAGGCCACATGGGAGCTAGAAGCAGATTTCAGAGCCTGGTATCCCCAACTATTTGATTGAATGGGAGAGAGACAAATTTGAGGGATCAAATTTCTTTTAAGGGGAGAAGAGTTGTAATACCCGAAATTAATTTGTAAAATTCAAAATTTATGTACAAAATTTAATTTTTTATTTTATAAATTATTATTTAATGTAAAATTAGGAAAAAAATAGGTGGAAGATGAAATTGAAAATAATTTTGAGAGAAAGGGGGTCAAAATTAGGGTTCTGGGAGTATTTTTGAAAGAAAAATCGAAAACAGAAGTCAAAACACAATTTAAGAAAAATGTATCACGCAGGACGCCCATTCAGCAACCACGACGAATCGGAGCGCACCGCGTGGCAAGGCACGCTGACGCGGTACCACGCAGGAGGCTACGTTGGCGATCCGCGTGCCCGCGATCGGATGGTCCAGATTTGTTCCTGCACGCGAGGATGGTCTGGATCTATTCCCTCCTCAGATGCGATCGGACAATCGCGATTAAACGCGATGAACGGTCCGAATACACTTCCTATTTAAACGCAATCAGACGGCCTATATCAAATTGCGATGAACGGTTCAGATTCACTTCCTACTTAAACGCGATCGAACAGTTCAGATAAAATGCGGTAGACGATCCAGATTAAAAAGAGATAAATATAAATACCCCTTTCCACACTAAATCCTAACTGTAGCCGCTAGACCCCCATGTTGGAGAAGAAGAGCTAGTCATCGGGAAGGGAATCGATCGCCGTTCGCCGCCGCACCGGAGCCACTTCCGACCACCAAAAGAGGTAAAAAAAATTTAATTCGCTTAAAATTTAATTTTGAACACCCCCATGGCCAAATCAGAACAAAAAGATTGGTGGATGAGACGAAAACTGCCGGTAAAGCCCGGTGGTGCCGCCGTAGGAAAAAGCAAAAACCACCTCCGATGAGGCCCTTCCTGATTCCCGTTTCGTATAATTCTTTCACCATTGTAATTATCATTCCTTTTTCTACAAGTTGACCGAAGCAAATACCCAACAGTGAAGGTGAGTCGGCGGAGCCACTGCACTGGAAAATTTTGCCACCGGTAAGCTTTGGTTTTTTGACTTTTTTCGGCCAACTGAGACCCCTTAACTTGTTTTTTCGCATGGATGGGTACAAAATCAGCCAAAACTAATCGAAAACGGCCAACCCAAGGCAAACTGCCACCGGGGGCAGTGATGTCGTCGCCGGAGCACGGCAGAGTCGCCGTGTCGGAATTTTAAAATTGGCCAAAAGAGGTTTCTAACACTAATTTTGGGTTTTTTGGGGATATTTTTAAGTACTTAAGATGTGTTTTAATGCTCGAAGAAAAATTTAGGAAACTCGGGGATAGTAGTAGACGTAGCTGAAAGTTTAGCATTTCAGACATTAATTTGAGTAAGAATGCACCACTTTATTCCCTGTTATGAAATTGAAGTTTTATTATAAATAATATGGTAATTTGCGTAATTCAGAAATATCGATAATTAAATGGTACTAATGGAGCCGGAACCGGTTATTTATTACTGTTTGCCATGTTTCATTGATTGATTGATTTTACAATTTTGAATGCATGATAATACATTAGAATTGGTATGATAATTCCATTGTATTTCCTTGATGCATGAATTGTTTGTTTTATATGATTTATAGTTAATTGGAAAACTGAATATTAAAGGTAAAGGAGAAATTATTTGATTAAGTGAATGGATGAATGGTAGCCTTACTAGATATATTGGGAGATGGTGGACGGACCGAATAAATAGAAAATTCTGCCATGAACGTTGCCTTATACCAGATAAGGTATTGAGGATTGGTAATTTGACGCTCATACTGGACGGGATTTGGAGACGGTACGTTTCACCCTCATACCGGACGGGGTATTGAGGGATAGTATTTTTTGGCGCTCATACCGGACGGGGTATAGGAACGACTCGTTTCATCCTCATACCGAACGGGGTATTGAAGGATGATATTTCTTGACGCTTATACCGGACGGGGTATGGGGACGACTCGTTAGTTGAAAATGTTGAAAAAAGGTTAACGCGTAATAAGAATATCCCTATGAACCCTTATGGATACCAGTGGGCTGATAAATGAGAAAGTGGTTGTTCCGACTAATTGAATATAAAATTATGATATTCTTTATGTTATTGACTTTATAGGTCGGTTTTGGAAATCTCATTACGGTAAGCATGCGGTAAATGATTTTATTTATGATAAATGAATTTTACTTAAATTGAGAGCTCCATTAGTTGTTTTTATGATTTCTACCAACCTTAATTTCTGTGTCGGTGAGTAGCGTGATATTCTTACTGAACTAGTGTAGCTCACTCTTTTATTAACCATTTCAGATCAAGAGTACCAATATCTAGAGATCGATCCACAAGAAGTTGCGAGTAGAACGTTCAGTTTATTTACTTTTCATTTATTTGTTTAATTATTAGTTGTTCCTCTAGAAATGTCATTCTCG